GGACGGGGAAAGCTTGCCTTCTTTCTCCCTTGGTGCATTTACATCCGAGTTTGCTTGAAGCCTCTCCCTCTGTTCTAGCCTTTACACGTATGTACTGTACTCAAGTAAGTGAACGAATGCAAGACAACATATGTACTATTCTAGGCAAGTAGTATTGTATATCCAGTTTGTCGCATGGTGTCGTATCGTGTCGTATGTATAGCCTTGTTATCGTCTCACGACAGCGGGGAGTTGCCTTGAATTGTCTATGCCGTATATTGGATGTAACCTCATCGCCTTTGTCTCCAGTCAAAGCCGTTTCTGTTCCTGAACTGAACTGAACTGAACTGTAATTTATATAATTACTGACTGTCCCTGTACAGCACCCGGCAGTCAGGTCTGGTCAGGCGCCATAGGTTGAACAGGGGGGTTCAGGTCTGCCGAATGAAATAATTGAAAAGGCCCATCGCCAAGAATGCCTGCCGCTAGTTTGAGCACTGTTTGTGCGTTTTGATGGGCACCTACCTTTATCAGACTTTGTCAGCACTTGCTTTCTCTCTCTGTCTCTCTTTAAGAGACCACTCACCTCTTGGATAGATTATTTACCTCACATAACGATGTGAAGTCCACCGACAAAACTCAGCAAGCTAATTATTGGATTGTAACCCATGTCATGAGCAACTTTGCACAATACCTAAAGTACCTATACCTCGTCGGTAGTATAGAGTACCGAGGTCACGTACCTGATTTAGAAAATCAAGAGGTTGATCACCTCGCCTATCATGACGTAAAATGAAAGGCTGCGGTGGACCAGAGCCCCGTAAACTTGCTGATTGCTCTAAAATCAGTCTATAAATTTTGCTTGTCAATTGTGTCGATCTCTTTTTATCTTTGGTATAATAGCAAGACACTAAGGCAGTCACCTAGTATTGATGCTACGGTACAGATACTCTGCATTCTGATAGGCATCTTTACGTATTCCACATTCAACGACACCGTTGGATTGTTGATTATTACTTGTGCAGATCTCGATAAACGATTTTGACATCCATGGAAACTTTGCACGACCAACCAGAAGACAGACATCCATGGATGTCTTGAACATATCTCCCTACCTAATAGGTACTAAGGTAGATGCTTAGTTATGTACTGACTCGATAACTCACGATGGCTTCGCTTTTAAGGATAAGACTTCTTCTGATGCCGAACAAACGTACCACATCTTGACTCACGTCAATCAGTACCAGTTGCATTGCTGCATGTAGTATACGGCCTGCACTCGACAGAATTGTCAATGCACTAATTAAATGCAACCCTCGAACGGGCCCGGTTTGATTTTGTTACCGTAGAGCAGTCATTGTGCGCTCAAACTTGGAGGTGTCTTTTTCTTCTTTTCGCATAGAGATCACCCTATTTTCATTTCCTGAATACCAGCTGTAGAAAGAGGGGGAAAAGCAAACATGACAAGTTCATAAAATGTTCGATCGATGGAGAGTTTGCTCGTGTATCACATATGAGAATGTGAATTGCCTGTGATTTACGCAGATCTTGATATCCCTCGACGGTAGATCACCCGCATGTCTCGGAGCAATAACCTTGATGAGAACTAGAGGAGAATAACCCCACGCCCTTGATGAAGGGTTTTCTTTCCCAGAGGAATTTGCAAAGTCGGACTCATTTAATCTAACCGAGTTACTGCGCCTGCTTAGATTACTATAGCTGTAATGCTATGCAAGCGAGATCTGCAATTGGAACAGCAAGGGAGAAGCCGGTAAATGCATTGATATGATATGATAAGTTATTGAGATCTGGAACCTGCATTGCAAGTTTCAGATTTTTTTTTTTTAATCCCTACCTAGATTGACGATGCCTACAAGTTGTATTTTTGTAATTGGGGTTTCTTAGAGTTTAGAAACGATTGCGAATGATGTTGCATTATGCAAATGCAAATGCAAATGCAAGTCATCCTCTGTGGTAGCTACTTCAAGGCACATGATCACTCTGGAATTCTTTACCCGATGAATGTCACCGTTTAGCTTTTCACAAGCTTGACGTTGACGGCCAAACGTTCCGCCCGGCCGAAGTATCGGCCGATCAGTTTAATGGTTGGCAAAGTTACAGAGTTGCTAGAGTAGCTGCAACCACTCAATCAAGGCCGACGCCATCTCGAGAGAAGCACTCAGCCTGGGATTGGCGGGAACTATGCTCCTCATCCGCAAGCTCGCGGGAACTAAAACGTTAGTCAAGGTTCAAAGTCAGAGTCGAAGCCAAAGTCGAAGGTAAGAGGGGGAAAAGGTTACAGCAGCTCAAACTTGACTTGGGCCAAAGCTTAGGGTACTGTATGTACTTGGTGGTTGGGTTAAGTTGAGTCTAAATCAAACACTTTTGAGGCCTGAAGGTCTCGGGGTACCTATACTCAATCAATACTGTACTGCATCGCCTACTTAACTCTCACCCTGCATCCACCAATCGATATACTTTGAGACCATGTCTATCGTGACAATCACAAAACCCTCAAAACCTTAGCAGCCACTCGCCGCTACCTGACGTTGATGTCGTACAGACTTGAGACCAATTCCCACTATCAAAAGCCTATTTGTTGTGCTTTAGGCATTCCACCAGGTAGGTATCGCTGGTAACCAACATAAAGGATGGATGCCGGTAAACAAAATGGGATGAGATGCAGGAGTGATCGACGCGGATCGACGATTCCCGAAACCAAATCAAGCCATCACCAACGGCTGATCTCCTTTACAGTACAGTACAGTAGTATCAGGGCACATCACAACATATCTGAGAAGCCTAATGTACAGCTGTCAATCACAATTGTAACAATAACAATGCGTATTTCCGTCTTTTGCAATCTTACGGATACCTTGCAGCATATGCAGGGCTCAAGCCTCTGCCCCACGGATTGCGATTAACGAACGACTTGCTGTCGGTGCAAGCAAAGAGTTACAAATAAACCGGAAGAGAAGCAGGGGACGGGCCAGGGACAGGCCCAAGTTTGCAAGCATGATCATCAAGAACTATGCTTACAAGCAAATTATCAATCTATTCTCTTTGAGTCAACAGGAACAATCAAGATACGGGATGCAAATAGAGGTAAGGGACTCGAAAGAAGAAATGCCGAAAGTCGGTGTACTGTACTTACAGCGACATACATGTTATTCTCTAATGATTAGGTCGCTTTGCCTTGTATACGAACTACTAACTGACATTGATTGTGCGGGATAGACTGCCTATTGCCTTGGTAATGCTTCTCACCGACAAACATCGCGAGATTACTATCTGAAACATGCATGAGTTCTACGGATACGGATACAGATACAGTCAAACATTTCCTTAAACTTATTCCCCACCAGTTGCAATGTTTCACAAAGTTAAGAGATGCCCTTGAAACTGTGCTTGTTTAGCCTTATAGTAGGATGTAAACCCTGATCCTAGACCGCCCACAATCCTCGCTTCCGAAAATGCTTTCCGATGATGCTTTGTTCCGTAGATAGCGATGGGTATGCAGAGCATTCGAGTCTTTAATGCAGGTTTGAGCGTGCATATTGTCAAGTGTCTCATGTCCAAAGTTCCGGGCTATCAGATATTCGGACCGGGTTACAGTACCATCTCACCAGTTGCACTTCCTTGCATCATATCCCATTTTCTTTTTGGGATTTTCTCATTGGCACTCGGAGCTCGTCCGGATCAATGACGTACGAGTGTTAGGTGGCTTGCTGATCAGAAACAAACAACCCGTCAATCCTGAATCAAATTCGCAAAAACCATCTATTCATGGCTAGCTGAAGGGTTCTGTTGATATCGAGGCACAGAGCAGAAAGGAGGCAAGTCTTAAGACAACGTTGTATGAGCTCTTCCCTGATTCGACCCATCTGAAGGAATTTCTACCAATGCCAGAATCTTTTCACACCACGTCTCTCTAAACATATCATTGATTGGGCATTCGCGAGCTTGAAGTTGTCTATCTGGGAGAGTTTCAGTCGTGGGTAGATGAATCGGACATAAACGGTTTTTCTTGAGCTAACATGAATTCCAGATGAGTTAGGTATTGAGATACATATATATCAGTATTCTTAACTTGTGCTTCTAATAACTCAAAGTCTTCTTTGATAGTTCAATACTATCATATACCCATGTGGACGACATAGTTAAGCCGTGTAAAAAACTATAGGAAAACGATGCTCGAGTAAGTCAGTTCATCCAATTCATTGTTCTGGTCAGGAAAGCACGTTTGGTCTAAGTAGCAAGTCACCAACTTGTCTTGTCGACGAAGTTAATGTTGGTCCAGCTTGAGATAAAGGGCAGTATCTAAGTAAGTCCATCGCCAGAGCATCAGTGAAATGATTGGACTCAAAATTCAAGATCAATTTGTTTCTAAACTCGATCAGCCCCAGATAATGCGAGAGAGACACACGCCGCTTTCTTTGTTGTGAATACCTGGGTGATTCTTTGTCGGTTTCTCAGTTGATTCGTTGATGCCCCGGGGCGGTTAATCAGGCAAACAATGTCCAATGAATAAGTAGGATCTTGTATCACGAGGCGCAATGATCACGCTCCGTTTGTGGGACTTTGAGAGGTTGATATATGCTGACTTTGGACACACAGCCAAGTCCTTTCTTATACGGGTATGTAGTCCCCATATTCAGGTACTAGGTTATAACGTAGGTCCATAACCTCCACTTTCTCACCCCTGTTGGCTTCGGGTTTCCCCACTAGCACTAAGGCAAAGGCACCTTAACCGGGCTCCCTAATACTGAACTTGAAGGCTCCATACTTGCAGCCGTCGGCCCCATCTCTTTCGGATTCCAGACTCCAGGCCCTCCTCCGGACTTTCCTCCCCTACACCCGCGCGTCAACTTGAATATTGATTAACACTCGACGCACTATTTGCGATATCATCAGTCGTCAGTATACGATACCTGTGTACGACTCGCTATCGTTTCGCCATTGATATTCTCGATCCTTTGCGCTTCGATTCTCCCACCCTCCATCGCGCATCACATCACACCATGGCGACGTCTGGTCTCATCGACCCGACAAAGACGGGCAACTATCCCGTTATCCTCGGCGACGCACTCTTGGGCAAAACTTCAAACGAGATTTTTACTGGCATCAAGTGTATGGTTGATCAGCCGCTGTAACATGTTCGTGTTGTGCTCACATCTCTTCCAGACAACCATAAACCTACCCTCTCGTCAGACCAAGCGCCGAATTCGGCCCGCATAAAACCCTCGGTTCCTGGTAAAACGACCTCCTATGACCTCTCCTATACCGACAACGATGAAAAGTATGCCTTCACAGGCACAAGGAATACCAACAGCGGCCAATATGTACTCTATTTCGACCCCAGCCGCGAGGCCTTTATTCTCGACCTTGTCGACTCTACTTTCAACATGAATATCACTCGACTGCCTGGCAATGGCGACTCCGATAGTCTACGACGACAATATCCACAAATCGACAGCAGCGCGTCAAGACCTGGCGCCAAGACAGAAAAGAATACTACGAATACAGAGAAACCATCGACAAAGGCACGCGCCAAACCCTCCACCCAGAAGAAAGAAGTCAAGCGCAAACCCGAGAAGAAGCAGGCGCCAAAGAATGTCGCTCTCTCACTCCCTGTGCCATTGCCTGCACAGCCACAGAAGCCTGCTGAACCCAAGAAACGCACGCCAGCTCCTGAAGAAGAGGAAGAAGAGGATGACGACGATGATGGCGGCCTTCTGGTGGAGAATCCTGGCGCTGATACCAGTGCGGCGCGTAGGACTGACTTTTCACCTGCATTTCCTTCTTTTCGCCGTTTTGACGAGTTCATGGATCAGCGCGAATCTGAGGGCGATGATGCTGACGGCGAAGAGGACGACGAGCCCGACTTTGAATTCAAGCTACCAAGCCCTGTCAACAACCGCAGCCAATATGAAGCAGGACCTGACCATATGGATGTGGATGAAGAAGAGGAGGTCGAAGAGGAAGAACCCGAGGTCGATCTTGCCAAGGAACTTGAAGACGCATTTGAGAACTTCGAAAATAGTCAACAGGAGAGCCCCGATGGCGATGAGAGCGAGATCAGTGAAGAGGACTAGGATATAGTGTACCGCTAAGGTATACACTTGAAGGAGTTTGGTTTTGGGCATAATTGGCGTTTATGCAAGACGGCTCAGTCTCTGTCAACGGCTGTATGATCAACTCGGCGTTGGAAAGGTTTGTTTCGAGTCATAATATTTAGCGATACCACTAGCACCAGCAAGACTCTTTTGTGGTCTACAAATTCGGCTATAATATTGTAAATAGCAAGAGCACGATATATAGAACTCCAATCTTGAATAAAAATATGAAGTTTGTCAAATTGCACTATCCGATTCTCTCAGCGCCCTCCCCTTCGTCATCATACTTCCACTTTTCACCAGGGAAATGATCCGAGATGCCCTCAATAGCATCCTCGGACCACAGGTGTACCTCCGAGTACGACAACCTTTGACCCCACTGCTTGAGCTCCTCTTTATCAAACGTGCCGACCGACATACTCATCGAGTTCGACGCCTCGCTGCGCCAGAATAGCCAGCTGCCACACTTGGTGCAGAAACCGCGCGCGGCATCCGGGGTCGCATGGTATCGCGACAGTGTCGTTTGAGAGGTGAAAGCAACGCTTGACGCAGGCACCTTGTGTAGCCATGCAATGAGTGAGCCACCATTTTTACGGCATTGGGAACATTGACATGTTGAGCACTTCAATAATGTGTTAGCAGGAGAGTGTGTGTGGAATGAGTAGGTGATATTCACGCCTCTCTTCCAATCGTGATTGGTTGGGAAGGTCACTTTATAACGAACAGAGCCGCAAAGGCATCCGCCAGAAACGGTCGAAGGATATTCTTTGGATGCCATTGAGTTGTTCAAGGGGGTAATGGTTTCGCTGCCAGTAATTTGAGGTAAGAGAGATGATATCAGGAAGTGCTTAGAGTTTGTTGTATTGGGTGGGTGGTAAGACCCCTCACCAAGCCCATTTATAAACGAACAGTGAGTGTCAATGGCGCCTTTCACTTCCTTGCTTTTTTGAAAGCCTAATCATAAATGATCTTATTGCTTCTGGTGTGCTGGTGTTCTACTCGTGTTGTCGAAAGGCGCAGCAAGCGAACATCCGCTAGTGCCTGCAGATCGAACCCAGGTACAAGATATGTCCAAAACTCTTATTTGAATAAAGTCTGCAGTAGGTATTAGAGACTTTCACCTGCACCCAGTACGTGGCATCAAATAGCTTCCCACTTTGCAAGCCACCCAACGCTTTCGCCTGCGTTACGAACAACACAATATCTTCCTTCGCTTGAGTCTTTTCTGACGTCGTCCAGAACCTTCTCAGCAGCAATAGAGCCAATAGCCATACCATGCCCTTCGCTGAGACTGAAAGACCCAGTGGTGACAAAACCAATAAGATCTTCGGCATTTGGCACCAGGGGATGGCCGTTCATGTCGGACTCATTGGCTGACGCGGGTAGAGATAGTGAAGGTTTAGCGGTTAGTTCGATAGCAAGTTGGCGTTTTAACGATTCCAAGTCGCGCGGCTGCGAGGCTTTCGATGGTCTGGCTTTGTTTGCAGTAGAAGAGGGGACTTGAGAAAGCCATTGGGAACGGAGGTCGTATGGAAGAGAGGACGACGACGACGACGATGTGGTAGGAGGGATAGTGGCAGGGACTTCGGTCTCAGAGGATTGCGGAGCTGTTATAGGTCGAGAAGGGAGACGGTAGATGCGAGCGCAGGATGTAACTGACCCTCTAGAGACGACAGATATACGGACACTTAGAAGAGCCTTTGTCGGTATTGTGAGTGGTGTAAGAGCACTAATGCATCTGGTGAATACGTCTTTGGAAAGCTGGCGTAGTTGATATATGCGAGTCTCTCTCCGCTGCTTCGATACCTGTGCTGACTCTTTCGACTCGCCCGTATCAACGTCCATGGCATCTTCATCGTGGCTCTCCTCACTTTCTTGTGAATCTGGAGCAGTGAAAAGCATCTCGAAATCACTAGCGAAACCATCTCCGATCTCGCCCTTCCTCCCTCCACCTAGATCAAGAGATTCCCAGGCTGTTCTCTTACTCTTTGGTCGCTTCTCCCAAGCCGCCTTTCTTTTCCGGCGTTCTTCAAGCTCCCAGTCGGCACCAGCTTTGCTTCCAGGGAAATCTGATGGGAACCAAGGCTGGCCCCTTTCAAAGGCGACCTGGCGGACCTCGTTCAAACCCGCAAACCGCGGGTTACCCCCTGACGACAGAGGACAATGCACCAAGGAGTACCAAATATGCTGTATACATTTCCATGGAGCAAGCAAGGTCCATGTGCCTTGTGTCTGAGTACCAGTCCCTGTACGTGACGCGAGGAGAATGATAGGAATAGGAGGGTCGGTTTTTAAAGGCTTTAAGGCGACCCCGGGAGTTTTCGCACTTTTACGTCTATCGACCTGTTTCTGTGATGGAAGACAGGACGCCCGGTGACGAATATCTCGATCGAAAACGGCATACGGCTCTAGATTATCCTCTGCTGGCCAGGCTGCAATCTTTTCGAGCAGTTGCAGTTGCGCCTCGTCGTCTTTAGAAACCGTAATACGCTGTGGTGGGTAATGGAAACGAGGGTCCTGCACAAAGAAGCTCAGCACGGCGCCCGCGGGTAAAACTGCCGCATTGGTTAAGCCTGCCAATTCTTTAAACATCTCTGCATGTGTATTCTTGGCCTTTTCTTTCTCGGGGTACGGGTGCAGGACGGCCAACAGGGCTTCCGTCGAACCTGGCCCGGACAAATCTATACTGCCAATCTCGAACCGAAGATCTTCGATGTAGAGTCGAGGTGTTTCCTGTTTTGTTAATGACAATAATTCGTTAAAGAGCTCGAGGAAGGCTGATGGATGTATTCTTAAGAATACTTGTCTCTCTTCCTTAAGTTCCTGGTTTCCTTCCGACGCCTGTGACTCAGGATTCCACAGGATAGTGCATGGTCCAATGATTCGCCTGTCATCGTTCGACTGCCCTCCGTTGATCGTTCGAGTCAAAGTCCCGGACCATGACCTACTTCCAAGTCTCCATTTCTTTCCCTTGTTGTTCCAGCAAGAATCTTGAACCACGCCTATTCGTTTCAAGACACGTTCAATTCCTGCGCGGTTACCATACAAGCCAATTGTGCTCATGTAGCTCATCTCCCAGATAACTGCCCCCCTATCGCCCTGTGCTCGATGGGTTGGTCTATAAATCTTCTCATTCGGCGTCAATGGTATAGCAAACCGCCATAGAGGATCCAGGGGATCAGTCATCTTTGCCCGTTTCGCGTGCCAGGAGTGAGTCGGTAACCAGGTCTTGTTGAGCTGTCGCTTTCGAAATTTGGTCTTGGGTCTAGGGGGTTCGTTGAGTTCGTTTCGTCGAATCTTCGGTCTCGGTGCTCGTCCAACGACAGCCAAGCATTTACCAATATTGGCATCTCCATCCTTCTTCGCCTTCGCCAAGCTAGTTCTCCGTTTCCTAGCTGCCAGGATGCCCAGCTTTCGCGCTGTCTCAGCTCGTATTCTTGCTCTTGTTGTCCTGGGCTTCCTCCGTCGCGCTTCCACTACCGGGGTATTGTCGTCCTTCATTTCCTTTTCCGCGCGCTTTCTCAACCGACGAGGCACCCGCTTGGGGTTGTGGCTTGCCGTGCGACGGCGCAAACCTCGGGGGACTTTCTGAAAGGCACGACTGCTACCGACAGCCTTGGATGTCGCCATGCTTTGTTCGAGGGCGCGGATCTCAAATTCGTGAGCAGCCACAAAAGCCTGAAGATCGAGTTCGCCATTTTTAAGTGCGGCCTCAGCAGGTTGTGCAGGAATGCTTCGTGCAGCGTGAACCATCTGGCGCCTCTGGGGAACGTTGTCGCTTCGAGAATTTGATGCTGGAGTATCTGCCTTTCGCTTTCTGCTATCCATCCCTGATTGGGCTCCGGTGGATGATCCCGGAGCCATGATGAAAGAATGGCGATTGTATGGGTATCTCAATTGTGAGTATGGAATTGATTCTGGTAAGAATTCACTTTGACGCGCTGGGTTGACGCAAAATTAAAGCTTTATCGATAAGCTTAGCTGTCAAAGATGGATATCAGTGAACATGATGGCCCCTCCAACCCACTTCAGCCCAGCCTGGCTGTCATCCATCCATGATGGTTTGCTGAATCAAAACTGCTTTTCACTATGAGATAAGACTCCATCGCCATTAGGCGTTGGGATTAGAGTGATTACGAAGGGATATCATCCAAAGGACATGGTCGGACGCTAAGAAATGCGTTGAACATAATCTTGTATAACATCTTTGAAGCAAAGACTAAAAGTTAATGATACTAGTGATACGGATACCCGCAAACGTTATGTGTGAGTTACATAGTGGGCTGCAGTACATTGTAGGTAAATTAAGGACGAAATTGGACGCTGGTTTGTTGTTGGTCTGAAGATGATGAGCATTTTTGAAAGACAACAAATGTCTCAAGAATTGCGAGCTTCCCAAAACATACATGAAACTTGATAAAATCACCTCTGAAAAGGGTATCTCTAATGTCAAATGCGCCGTTCGCCAGTTTCCCCACGTTGTCTTCGATCTGCCAAGATCAACTGTTTTTGCCCTTTACCATAACCAACAAGGAAGCCATATCCTTTGCACAAATAAATTCAAAACCAATTATAGAACGTTCCTTTCTCACATCAACCAATAACGCTATAGTGTCTTCTTACAGCTTCAGCCAGTTGTCCAGGCGGTTGACACTTGGAGCACATCTTATGGCCCCTGTGAATCAGGTGGTCAGCTGAATGTCTTGACTGCCCGGTCTGAGATCTGGTTTAGATCAGGAACATGACATACCAAAATTCTGGAGGATCAACAACTTTTGGGGTGCATGGCCTCTGAGATCGTTCATATTTTGGACACCAGTTCCTCACAACCCAAGCATGATGGTGACATTGAAACTCAACCTGCATCCAATACTAGTTAGCAAATTTGAGAGACTCTTAACAGTGGATAGAAGAAGGCACTTCGTACATAGTAATAGTTACACATCGCAAATAGCACGGATTAAAGAAAAGAAAAGAAAAGAAATGAAAATGCTCAAGAGTTCAACGGTGATCGTCCCCTTTTCTGCAGGAACGGCTACCTTAATACATATCTGGTCTTCCATTCCAGTGTCATATTGTCATTGCGAAACTCGCACAAGTGACTGATAGCAAGTGACCGATTCTAAGAACATCACCGAACTAACATACTTGAAATCTTTTATTGCTTTTTCTAAAAACGCCATCCACAGGAAGCGATGCGACTTGCAGTTCCAGCAGGGAAAAGCAAGACAAATCGGGAAACATAAACCTGAGACTAATAAGCGAAGAGGTCATAAATGAGCGGGTCTTTTTTATCTCTCTTGTCATCTCTTCTCCCGTGAGGAGAGAGAACAGGAATCGTTGTGGCCAAGGAGAGCGCACGCGTGGGGGAGAAATCATACTCCCTGAAATGATAACATGTATCTTATCATAAAATATCTTACTAGGTACCATAGGTAAACAGGCTGTAGTTGTTTCTGGGTTACATTGCTTGGTCTAGGTACACACAGCATAGATTCCCATTTCACGCTGACAGCCTTATGAGTTTCTTGTTAAAGCTCAAGCCCATTCCTTGTCTCTTTTCTCAGCTGTCGTTATAATCAATGGTTTTTATGACCCTGGTCATGCTTGTTTCAGGCAATTAGCCTCGCTTGCAACCTCAGCTCAAAAACATGGGTTTATTATGGTCGTGCGATCACATGGAGTTGGCTAGTCCGTCTTGGATTCGACAACTGTCGAGGCATATGCAGTGAATCAATCCCATCACAGCATCCATACAGATAGACCATGATGCGATAGATAACGCCATTATGTTCTGTCACGTCACATTTATACTGTACTGCGAGTAAACAACTACCTAGATACCTAGTTAGGGCAGCTCGAGATATGCATTACGACACTTCAAGACATTGAGATCGGTTCTCCAAACTTGAGTTAGATGTCCCTTTCTATATGAAACAAGTGCATCGGTGGCTGACCGTCAGGTCGGGTTCAAGCTTGAAGAAATGATCTGCATGTGAATGGACCCGTTCTCCCTTTAAGAATCGGGGAGAAAGCTCATCAGCCCCCTGTGGCTACGTACCCACCATGCGATGTCCCCTGTGGCGTCATGACCACTGGCAGGGAGCAGCCTTCCTTCCCTATTGTCGTGGGATGTGGATGCCCGTGATCCGTGTCCAAGGAATGGCATGTGACGATATCTTCATCATACAGTACCTACATACAGCCAAGACCAGCAATTTGTGATACTCTTATTATTACTGCACCGTCTATCACTTTTACCTACCTAGGTACCATACCTCCAGACGGTCCACCGTGGACAGCTCAATCAATACCTAAGGGACTGACGGCCTCCACTAGAGCTGGAATCGTTCGCCAAATCAAGGCTGGAGTCTACGCCATAGTCCGGCCAAAGCCTGAGAGGCAGAACCTAGGAGAATGGTTTCTTTAACTAAGCCTCAACCCCACAGAGCTTAGAGTTTCGCTACATCCATACTGGGGAATGATATCCTCTGCCTACCTACACCTGCCTACTATCTATAGCTTTGGGTGATATCCATACTGCAGCATAACCTTACAAAAGTCCCAGCGTAAGATTGGGTACCGCCACAACTACGCTCAAGCGAGCTCTTCATCAAACTGAAACATCTTCGCCGTAATCACAGAGGATTCATTGAACAGAAGGCACCTCAGAACCTCCTACTAACATGGGCTTTCTCAAACCTGAAGTTGGCAAGGCTCGAAAGGTGAGCATTCCCACCCCGTCACCTCTCACCGTCATGCTAATGAACCCTCTCAGCCAAAATTCGACCTTCATTTGAAGGTACATCTTTCCTCGCAATGGAACATTATTTAACCACCTAGAGAACACCGGCTCATTCTTGCTAGATATATGACCTCAACAACGTGCCACTTGTTTCCGGTCAATCATTCGTCAAATGGCACCTCTCTCACTCAATGACCGCAGAACACCGCGGTCGCACTCAAAAATGCCCAATTGCCAACCATAGGGTCGACTACAGCTTCGTTACTACAGTCACTGGCATCCGCATATCAATAGATCGCAACAACCACCTTGCCGAATGTCCTATGGAATTCGAGGTTATCCAGGAGTTTGGTGTAGCCGAAAAAGTCTCACTTGGTGTTGTTCGTCTCAACCTCAGCGAGTACGTCGAAGAAAGCGAAGCCTTTGTCAAGGATGTCGCGTCGCCTGGTCGCATACGTAGCGGTAGTGTTGGTGTCAGCCCGCACGGCGGTGGCACGTCACGACCGCGCCGCGATTCCGATGTTGTTGAGGACGGCATTGTGAGAAGATATCTCATGCAAGAAAGCAAGGTCAACAGTACCTTGAAAATCAGCATTCTCATGGTTCAAGTCGATGGCGAACGCAGCTACGTAGCCCCTCCTCTCAAGACAGCCCCCGTGTTTGGCGGTATTGGCGGCATCATGGGTGAGGAGATAGAGGACGAAGCTGGACGTAAGTGAACCCACTCGAGCCCATCGTGTGCCAAAGCTAAAATTCTAGATAGCAATAGCTGCTGCAGTGCCTAACTTATCGAAACCACGCGACGCCGCTGAGCTGCAGGATCTCTACCGGAGTGTCCTGACTGCTTCGTGGTGCCGTCAGCCCGATGAGCATTCTGCAGAGGAAGTCATCGACGATATTTTCAATGGCGGCAACGGCTGGAAAACTAAGCCACACAATGCCTCGCCTGCCACGGATGATGAAGAAGATGACGATGATGATATCGGTGCCCGTGATACTATTCGAGCTCGTGACGTCCGTCGCATAACCCATAACCTCCTTCATCCCCATCATCATAGCCAGAGCCATCGATCACCTTCACGCAATCGGCCAGCCAACGGTCCGCATGGCTCTTCACATCGTCGCACGCCGAGCAACTCGAGCGACAAAAGCTTCTCCACAGTCACAGTTACGCCTTCCAACCGACGTAAAGGTGTCCGCATCCATGAGCGTCATCTCGACCACGCGCGCAGTATGGCGAGCATGACATCTACCATGACAATGGATAGCGATCCTATGCGGGAAGTGAATTATAAAGGGGCTCGCGAGGTCAGAGAGGATGATATGCGAAACGATCTCGTTGCTTGGCGGTTACCAGGCGATCAGGTCATGTAAGGAAGGTATCGTTCATCTTATGGGAATACGGTCCACGCTGTTTTCGAGAATTCACATTTTCGTTCAAACATCACCAGTACTAAGTTAATTGAGACAACCAGCTAGTTGGAAGAGGCCCGTTCTTTTGAAAATCTTTGAAATTTCATTCAATTCATCCCGATGACTTTCTATTGTGTCTTCTAGATTCTACCAATAAACCCATGCTTTTGGATATCCATCCACCTGTATGTCCACTCATAAAAATCATTGCGGCTTTTTAATCAAGTTACTGCTTTTGAGTCGTTCAATTCCAGACTCTTAAATGTTTCCTCGCACACCACCCTTTCCGCCGACCTCACGGGTTGTGACAGTAACACCCAGATCGGCCAGAACGTTAATCGTGACCTCGACCTTGCCGCCAGCCTTGACACCCTTGACGGCTGCCTCGGCGAGAGTGTTACCAATCTTCCAGATCTTCTCACGGGTCTCCTCCTCCTCATCGGAGTCGTCGGAGTCGGAGTCGTCCTCATCCTTGTCGCCGCTCTCCTCCTTAGGCTTAGACTCAGGCTTGGTCACCTTGATATGAGTGTTACCCTCGGCGATCTTGATGAGCACATCGCCACCCTCCTTAGGGGCTGGAATGTGGACAGTTCGTCGAGCAGGGGCGGCGGTCTCAGGGGCGACGATAGGGGTAAAGACTTCCTCGCCATCAGCACCGACGGTGATGACACCGATGGCGTTGGAAATGTGCTTGACGGTGGTGACAGCAGGGTGTGTAGATTGCTCGATATCGGAAGCCTCGTACTCCTGGATAAGAGAAGCCTGGAGGGCAGCACCACGAGCCAGGAGCTCGGAGGGGTTGATAGCAGAAACGCTGGTAGCAGGGGCCTGGATCTCGGTAGACTCAGGGAAGATACCGCGCATGTTGTTAGCAATACGAGGGGTGTGAGCAGTGCCACCAGACAGGATAACCTCGTCAATGTCAAGAACATCGAGGCCAGCCTTCTTGATGACACCCTCGATAAGTCGGTTGAAACCCTCAAAGACTTTGCGGGCAACCATCTCATATCTTATTCTGTTGATAGTGACAGAGAAGTCAAAACCGTCAGCCAAGCTTTCAACACTGAACTGGGCGTTGCTACCCAAGCTCAGAGCTCGCTTGGTAGCCTCAGATTCGAGTCGGAGCTTGGCAAGACTGCGGGCATTGTTTCGAGGGTCGACGTTGTGCTTCTTTTGGAATTCCTTGGCGAAGTGCTCCATAAGGGCGTTGTCCAGGTGGACACCAGCGAATTCATAGTCGTGAGAAGTGGCAAGGATGGTGTAGAGGCCGCCTCGGGAGGCGATGACAGCAACATCAGATCGGGTGCCACCAAGGTCAGCAACAACAACGGTCTTGTCCTCGATCTTGGCCTCAGGACGGGCATCGTAAGCCAGAACAGCGGCAACAGGGTCGGAAATAAGCTGGAGGATTTCAAGACCAGCCTCGTTGGCGGACTTGATCAGGACCTCTCGCTGCTTCTCGGAGAAGTTTGTGGGAACAGTAACAACGGCAGAGGTGACCTTCTTGCCCAAGTAGTCGGAAGCGGAACCGACAAGTCGTCGCAAGTATCGGGTGGTAACCTCAGAAACTGGGACAGTAGAAGCATCATCCTCGGCCTTATCCTTCACGGTGAAAGCGACAGAACCGGAAACGTCCTGAGGGTGGGCGGAGGCGTGGGAGTGGGTAGGGTCGATGGACTTGAACCTGGGCGTTTCATGTTAGTATGTCGGCTCTAGAGTTGAAGTTGAAACGGAAAGGGAGCCGCATACTCTTGTCCGAGGTAGTCTCTGAAGTTGGCGATAGTGTTATCGGGGTTGCGAACAAGGAAAGCCTTAGCTTGGCCACCGTAGTACTCGTCGCCATCAACGTAGGAGAGAACTGTAGGAATTTGTCGGTCTATCGAAGGTACATATGTTAGCAAAGTTGACTACAGAAGATACAGAGAATAGTTCCAAAGACTCTGTTTCTTCTGCCTCTTCGCAAACATACCTCCATCCTCGTTGGCAATGACCTCGGCCTTGTCATCAACAGTGTAGGCGATAGAACTGTTGGAGTTGCCAAAGGTGATACCAATCGCAACTCGATCACTAGGCTCAGGGCCCTTAGCGCCAGCGTTGTCACTCATAGGGTCGGTCGTAAACAGAGGTCGTGGGCTGGTGTATGAGAAGGAGGAAAATAACAACTCGTTGTCTGCTCCGAGTTGAAAAAGAAGAGTGTGGTGAGTGTCAAGTTTTGGAAGGCGATTTGGTGATGGAGTAGTGGGGGTTTCTTTCTTTTCCCGCAGAGACTGGAAAAAAAACTGCCCGCTAATCTTTAATTGCCCACTTTTTTGGAAAAGCAATTGGTACGTATCTTATCTTATCGTTATCAATGTCCCACTACGCCGCCTCTGTCCATTTTTGACGACAAGGCTGTTGGACTGTAGCCTGTCGCATTGTATTTCGAGCTTGAAATAAAACATCCTTTCCACTGCAGGTGTTCAACCACAAGAACTATATAAGATGGCATCCGACGCCGTATTCGTGCTGCCGGGAGATAGCATTGACCCGTCTCTTGTTCCTTCACATCCTAAGAAACCTCTTCGTCTCGGTCCTGGACTACGACATGTTCCTCCTAACGATATTATTCCTACACTTGCTGGACAACTTGTAACCGATCGACAAAAGAATGCGATTCGAGTAGAGAACTCTCGAGGAAGGGTAGGCATCTCTTTTTCATGGAATCGTTCCCATATACTAACTCATAGCAGTACACCCCACGCGTTGGTGAACTCGTCATCGGAACAGTCCAGCGTAGCGCTGCAGATTTCTTTTTCGTTACTCTCTCCGACTATACCGCACCTGCCCAGCTTCCACAATTATCTTTTGAAGGCGCTACCAAGAAAACTCGCCCCCAGCTTGCTGCTGGTGCGCTTGTCTACGCACGTGTGGCTCTCGCCAACCGTCACATGGACCCAGAGATAGAGTGTGTGTCTGCATCAACAGGAAAGTCTGAGGGTCTGGGTCCTTTAACAGGCGGAATGCTCTATAACGTGTCACTTGGAATGGCCCGACGTCTCATGATGCCTAAGAGTGTGCAGGAAGGCCGCGTTGTGGTATTGGAAGAGCTTGGCAATGCGGGACTCCAGTTCGAAACTGCAACGGGACGCAACGGCAAATTCTGGGTTGATAGCGAGAGTGCAAAGACAGTCATCGCTGTAGGAAGGGCAGTACAAGAGACGGATGAAAAGAATCTGGATGTTGATGAACAGAAGAAGCTGGTGAGGAAAATCATCAAAGACCTGAGCTAACGAAGTTGCATTGGTGAAAATTGCAGTGCTGCTTAGCACTATTTGTATTGATAAACCGATCAGCTAAGAACTGTCGCACTATAATAGATACCCGAGAACGAATACACATGGCTCGTCTCTTGTCGGACGAGTTTGTCTTTTCCACAACCGAACGCCAATAATCCTTCCATGTCTTCGATGTCGCTTTTGATGCCGAACCTGGAATTCTATGCCTAAATGTCAACTTTAAATAAATATAACTACCAGCGCGCTCTTTAAAAGTAAGAAACAGCTGACAGTCAGGTTCAACCAGTTTGGACTGGCTTTTAACCAGGGACGAGATTCCAAAGCTGGTCACCCATTACAATATTTGGTGTAATACCAAGAAAGTCAGTTCGCCCTAGTAGACACAAGCTTTCATGTGCCCCCCATCTCTTGATCGACCTCCACAGGGTCGGGGAGGTATCTTTGATCCATGTTGTGGATCTTCGTCATATGCCGCTTCCAATTGTCCTTGCGAGGAAATCCTTTCCCACCTTGTCTTGAATAGTCGCAACCTGGGACGGCGCAATGGAACTTCTTCTTCCTCTCGTGGCGATCGTTGACATGACGCTGAAGATGAGTCTTGGTTCCAAAGCCCTTGCCACAATTCGGGTAGGGGCACTTGTGGTCTTTTGTATGGTAGCGCTGATGATGTCTGGGGGCAGTTAGTAAGAGGTTGCCTGATGCTCACGAGCAAATACTCACTTAAGCTTGTGTGCCTGGTCAAAGACCTGATGACAGCCAGGCTCGTCACACGCATATACGCCATTCTTTGGTGACAAGTTGTTGGCACCGTTACCCGGTGACACGCTTGGACGATGGTCGGAGGATACACCAGAATGGGGGGAAGGGGTATCGAGCTGAGTTGCAGGTGTGTTTAGTGATGAGGGGTTGGTAGATGCCGGTCCTGGTTGAGGAGTTGAAGCATCTGAAGGGTAGCTCTGGTGTCGGGTGCCTGTGTCGGGCATAGGACTCAAGTGGTTGTTCGATGGAATATCAGACATGGAGACATCCTGGCTCTCATCAGGCTCTTCTTTCTTCAATGCAGTTTCACTCTGTGTGGGTGTGGGTGATTGGACGACAGGTAGAAGTTGAGGCTGAGGCCGGGGAGTATTAGGAGCCAGTGTCAATGGTGAGGGTGAATCAACAGGTCTCTCGTCCCTTGAAGGCTCCGTTGATGGTGGCAGCTGGTGTGGCGAGGATTGTGCTACATATAGTTGGTAGTTTGTTCTATGCCATAATTCGCTTTCCGTTGAAGCCGGCATCATATCCATCGGGTTCACAGTACCGGGAGCGGGGTGGCTGGGAGGAGACTGAGATGCGTTGAAATTGAACGTGGCTGGTGAAGATTCTGGCGGGCTTGGCGCGGTCCCTTTGGGTAGAGTAGATGGTAATGCGATCGGTGAACCCAGAGCCGGGGCAGGATGGGGCGGTGCTGGTAATGAATCAGTAGCAGGCGCAGCGATATCAGTAGGAGACTCAGTCGGGTCTCCGGCCGTAGTAATCCTCTGGAGAGGCACACCCTCAGTGACATGAGTGGCTCTGGTGTTTTCGGGACCTTCAGCAAAAGACAGCGATGTTGGGGAACTGAAGGATTGATCGCGCGTACTCTTTCGACTGAACAGTTGCTTCAAGTTATGCTTCAATGAACTTCCACGCGACCATGAACGTTCTGGCTGTGGTCGAGGCTCTTCAGTTGTAAACATGCCGAATGCTTCTGATGGCACGGCCGGGCTGTAGTAGTCCGCACTGGTTCCGTTGAGGGTTCCATCATGCGCATCTCCAATAGACTGTGGCATATATTCTTCATGATATGTTCCATCGAACGGCGCCGAACGCGGTATCGAATTGTCGCAGCCCAGCTGAGCATTGTTGAAACGATGCGAAGACAGATTAGTATCGATTCGGGGTCCAGTGTTATGTTGATCCAGTCCTTGTTGCCCGTTCGACTGTATCAGAGTATCGTGGGGAGTCCAGTCCAAGTCCTTGACAGATCCCTCTACTCCTCCACGAACATTCTCTCCCGAAGGCTTAAATGAGTCCTGCGACGATAAACGGCGTTGATGATCAGCTGTGGTTGGAGTTCCCGTCGTTGGAACCTCACCCGTCTCAGGGTCGTTCGTGTTGGTGAGTCCATGAGAATGGTCTTGTTTGCGGTGTCTGATGCGACGGATGATAAATGGATAGGAACAGAGAGCTACAAGCGCAAGGCCCACGATGACACCGACAACAACACCGGCGATTCCTCCACCACTCAGTTCCCTTCTTAACAATACTCCCCTAGTTTCGAGATGGCCCGTCTCATGGCTCTTCCTCGCACTTAGATGTCGCAATATATCCATCGAATTGGACCCTGGGGGGATCGAAGACTTGCGTGGCGAAAGCGGAAGTAGCCAGCAGCCGCTGGCGAGAGCTGATAGAAGCAGATACTCGATATGGCAACCTAATCAAGCGTTGATTATTTTTTGTCGTATTCTGATGGTTTGGTGATTGGGCGGGGCGGCTGGTATTGTACTGGAGACCCGAGTCTCGGGAGGCCGCCGTCGCAGTCGCGCAAGGCACGAGAGGAATCCGATCTGGAGTCAGTCAAAGGCTCGTGCTTTGTCTAAGGGTCCAGTCGAAGAATCGAAAGATGGAGCTATTATCAGGGGAATGGATGATCACTTTAGCTTCTGTTGATGACATCCATTGTGAGCAAAGGGAAGAGAATGAGAACCATGCACGGGTGAGATGCAACGGCATGGCATGGCACGACCAAGAAATCCGGGGGTGGTCGTCAGCATGGATAGGAAGGTAGCCAGCGCGCACGGCACCTTCTGACAATCGCTTTTTTATCGAACCTCTCAGGACCTTCAACTTCCCATAACGAGAGTAGCTCACACAAGCGAAATTTGATTGGCCAGGGAGATGGCCTAGGCCTCCGCGTACAGTACTGTACCGTCCGAAGCTCCGCAGTCTAAGCCACACTCATCTCGACCTGGGCTAGTGTCACTCACCCCTGAAGGGCTCGTTAGAGAAGCTGGTCCCTATGGGAGCTAGAGGCCCTCTTTATGTAGATGACAATTTAGATATACGCTATAAAAAGAACATCTTGTTTTTGTGAAGATCAGATTGATCATGACTCTTTGAAAAGCTGGGAATGCACGGGCTAACTGGAACTGAGCCTGCCATGCTTACTTGTAGAGTGACACAAGTGCTCTATCCAGGTAATCTACCAAATTATTATTGATTGTCTGCTTACACTCGATAAGATGAACTATGGTAATACAAACAAAGCATCTAGTAGGTATTGCATCTTACCAGGTCAAATAGGTAGTATTAAGTATTGATCCAGTACCTTAGTAGTATTAAAGCCATGGAATGCCAGTATCCCAATCACAAATTACCTTTCCACAAATGCTGTCTTCAACTCAAGCCGTAAACTACGAATCGTAGATCAGACTCTTATTCGCTAACCTCACGTACCAGGACCCGTATAAGTCCATGACTTTTTCTCCTGCAATCATGAGTCCCGTCAAGTACGTGATACGGTACTCACTGAACAACACCAGCTATCTTTCTGGCTGCATTGACCAATAAGTCAAGGCTCTGGCTGCTGGTCATGCACCTGTAGGCTGTGATGAGTGAGGTCTACACAGTACACACCTGGCTAGGGGATACCAGAAAAGTTGATAAGAGACAACGACCACATGAAAGTGAGGTAGCCGGTTATCAGTTCCGATTAGAATAACATGATTTACTTCAATTGCCCATGAAATAAGCACATTGGCCTTTGATCATTTGTTGGCCCCCAAATCCAACAATAAGTGTTAAGTATGAGCCTGGTAGTTCAACTATAAGCCTTCCTGGCATTATCCCATAATCGCCGAATCGTAAGCCTTCCATGTTCCCACTGGCGTAGCGCTGAGAAATCCTTCTTCCATAGAATCTCATCAATCAAGCTGATTATTTGACAATTCTCCCCTCATGTTTCAATACAGGCTTGCACCCATACTCAACGAAGATTGCTCTGTAAAGCTGCCAGAGAGTGTTAAGCGAATCCCTACGCTGGCAATCGTTGATCTATGGCCTGGTGGTATCCAAGACACTAAACTACCGAACTACGATCTTGTCTTAATTTCACGTCATCAGCAATTGGGCAAATTTTCTTTTACCATTTGCATATTACACCTAACTACCAGAAGGGGAACTCAATACACGAGCCTCATCACCTCTGATACCCTCCGAAATTCTTAACTGCCAGAAATAGAGCACGCACACAAAAACAAAACAATACAATTCGAAAAGAAGAAGAAAAAGAAAAAGAAAAAGAAAATCAACCAAGCTAGCTCAGGAGCTTCCATGATCATGCCAGCCGTTGTTTCCATTTACATGGGCTGCTCTGCCTCCTGTGCGGCCTGCAGCGCTATAGCACAAACAAACGGCTGTCGTTGTATGCATCGTTCCATACCTTGGATGTATAGTCCGTCGGGACACGCTGACCGCCAGCAAGGCGGAAGGTCATCCCCGAGTGCATCAGAATCACCTCGGCTTGTCGTGCTCGAGTGATGGCAACGTTCATACGATGAGCCTCATCCATGAACCCGGGTCTGGTCGTTCGTACCATGTCAAGAAAAACCATGTCGGCCTGGTTACCCTGGGCTTTGTCCACAGTTAAGACCTCGACCCTGTTCTGATATTCAAGCGGCCACTGCTTAACCGCATGAGCGTATTGCCGCATGGCAACGCTGTAAGGAGTCTGTATCATTACTCGCCCAGGCTGCTCGATGTTTGTGACGTCTCGGAAGTCAGGGTCTTGAAGGAGTTTTCTTGCTTGTTCCATGACCCAGTGATGGTTGGCGGGATTCCAGAAACTGCGGCAATGCGTTTCCTCTTTACTCGTTGTAAGAGAAACAACCGCTCGATTCTCACTAAGCTTTGTACCGCCCCCAAGGTTTTCAAGATACGTGCGCAAGTACTTGACTGTTGTGGGGAATTGTTTAGTTGCTGGATAACCAGAGACCATACGCCCATGGTAGAAGAGTGTCGATGGCAACTTCTGCAAGTTACCGTACGCACGCTTATTTATCAACAACCTGCTGTTGATAGCTCCGACCTTCTCTGCTCTGGCCATCAGACTAAGACGCATCTGGTCAGCGTATGGGTTGAACTCCAAGCCTTTCTTAATAGTATCGCGGACATCGCCGCTCTTTACAAAAGGGCGGGTTTGGTTGACATCTCCAGTGAAAATCCAGGCAATGGGCTCAAAATAAGCGATAGGGATCAGGGTGGTTAGCTCCCTTGCGTGGGGAGCTTCATCGACAAAGATGATGTCCGGTTTGAAATACTTTGTGAAGCTACCGTACACAGCTACAGGCGTCGTAGCAACGAAATCCGTCTGCTTCAGATATGCGGTGTAGAGCTTTGTGACTTGCATCCTTAGTGTCTTCCAGTTGTCATGGTCCAAGACTTCGCCAGCCTCCATTCTCGTTAGAACTCGCTTCAGTGCTAGAAAGCCACCGTCTTTGTGCTTTTCATAGTACTCCCAAGCGGCTTCGTCCAACGTCGGTGCCTTGTTGGGATTGCGTCCAATCTGGACGGTCTTGTTGATATTCATCGTAGCAAGAAATTTCTTTGTAAAATCTGTTCCTTGTTGGTCGTCATTGCCATTCTGACCAGAGCCGCCGGTGTTCAACTTTGAGCTGTTCCTGATTTCATACGGCCAGCCATGCATTCGAACAATGCGCAAGTCCAACTTGGCTTCTTTGCACAACTTGTAGTAACGGTCAGCTGCGTCGTCCACCGTTTTGTTCAAATCAACTAAGAACAGGATCGGACTTCTTCTTTTAGCGCCAGGGCGTCTTTTGGACTGAAGAAGAGCAGAGACGACCATGTTCCACTCAGTCTTCCCTGCGCCGGGACATCCGTTGACGAAGTAAAGACCATTTGGAACTCTAGTCAATCCTTTGAATGCAGCGAGGTGATCCTGGTTGAATGATCTGTACCTTCGAATGATATTATAACGAATCCTGTGCTCTTGTGCCGCTGGGTTCTTCAGATGGGGGAAGAAATCATGAAGATCGATGAAGGTCTTGTCGGAACCTCTCAGATCAAGAATCATCTCAAATGCTGCCTTGGACTTGTCGCTGACCTTACGACTTTCCTGCCGACACTCCCCAGTGAGTCGGTGTAAGGCTGCGAGCTCAGCTTCGAAAGTATTTGAGTATGTATCCCAAGCAATCGTAATATTCTGCTGTTGCGTTTCTTCCAGAGAGATATTTTCAAAATCGTTGAGAGAAGAAGCAATTCGTTTTGTTGCCATCAAGTCAATACTCACTTGCTCACCATCCTCATCTTTCCATGATCTGCAAACATCGACCTTGAAGGCTGCACAATTTGCTACTCCCATACCGACGGGATGATCTGTATCTTCGTATGGGTTAACAATGCGGGTGGCAGGTAGGTTTACCAGGGAGAATGTCCCATTCGGCATTTCAACTCTACTCTCGAAATCGATATGAAAGTTGTCCTCAAGGTTGGGGAATATAAGGCCTTCCGATTGTTTCGGAATCACCACGAGAACTAGCCACGAGACTTGGAACGAGGTAGTAAGAACCGAAATCGGGGCCACGGGCCAGGCTTTGAAGAGTGTTCGCTGCTCATTGAAGCGGAGCAGGACTTCTAGCTCGTTCTTCTGTTCGATGAGAGTACCTTGCTCATGCCGGTGTACATATTCTGACTTCGGCAAAATGCAAAGCGATGGGAGTGGCTGTTCAAGTTGAGCGTCAGTGACCGCACGGCACATCCAAACTTCATTTGTACTTACCTTCAACAAAGGCCGAGGGGATGGTGTTGTCGCAGCAGGCATGGTGAAGAGCCTGTAACACAGGGTGCATCAACCGTGTTTCCTATTTGTCTGTCCAAAGAGACGGGTGAACACAATAGGGTCCGGAACCAGATCTTGAAATGGTTAAGCAGCCTCAGTGAAGCCACGAAGAAGGCCAAATAGGCACGATAGCTAATAAACGTAAAGATGAGCCAAGCGAATAAAGTGACGAAAGCGAAGAGAAGGCTGTGCCAAAGAAGATGGCTTCCGTGATCCTTTACACACAACACCTTACCTGCTCGATATAGTGTTGCGCTGATGAGCTGAAGAAAGTTGTGTGGAGGTAGTGAGGCAGAAGAGCAAACATTGAGGAGAAGGTTTGAGAGACCGTGTAGGCAGGCATGCAGGAAGGCAGGCAGCAGTCGCGGGAAGTGGAAAGCGGAAAGCGGATAGGCGTTTGCACCTGCCGTATGTTGCCAGCCGTCAACACTGCCGCCACTGCCTGGCAGCTGTAGGAGCCGGCAGCTCGATTAATGAGATCAAAGCAAGAGTATAAGCGCGGTCTTGAATATTCTGAATGTGGAAGCATAGCAGCAGGCGGGTGTCAGAAGAATTATCCTCTAAG